GCCTAGAATATAATATGCTTTCCCGCAGGTGCTTTCCCGCAGGCTGCCACACGGGTGGGGTCAAAACGCGAAAGCGACATCGATACCCGCGGGCCACAGCCACCGCCTCCCTACCCCCGCCCCGCCCCCAATGTTACAACGAACACCCCTGCAAGCTACTCTCGTGATGTAGGCAGGCGTTTTGGATGATAATTCGACTTCCTCGTGCTACCCGCGCGAGCTGTCGTCGTGATGGTCACCACTATCAGCGGCCATGTTACCGTCAGGATCATCAATGGATTTGAGTGGGCGCTTGTGCGGTACGGTCGGGTCTCGGGGGACATTGGGCCGGAGAGCTGGGGACTGACCCATCGACAATGAAATTGTGTGGAACGCCTGCTACGTAAACGAGAGGCCTCGGGGGTAGGCAGCATTCGAAAAGAGAGCTGGGGACCGCGAGACGATACAACGTACGTACCATATACCGACAATGGTATTGTGTTTCAAAGCACCCAGTATTGAGGGGACCAGCAGCGGTACCAGACGAAGAGGCGGACAGGTTTATGTGTGGGGTTGTGAGCAGAAAGTAACGGGGTACAGGCTGGTCCTCTCGGAGAAGTGGGAAACCATGTGCCCAAACAAACGAAACCAGAAACGGTATCATACAGCTATTTAGCGCCTCCCTGTCTCCATGCTGCATAGAAATTGACCTCACTCACGGTGAGTTGGATCATGGAAGGTCCCGAGAGGTCGCTGTTGACCAGCAGGAGATCGCGCATGTGGTCCGATTCGATGATCGGGCGGCAATCCTCCACACTTTCCGAAGTGAGGGTGTTTTCGCCCATGTCTAATAGCGAAATTTCCTTGTCATAGGCGCCTTCGCAGAGCGCCTTGAAGACGGCGGTTCCCGTGTTGTGTTGCGAGGCGTCGACGATGTCGCTGAAATCAATCTGCAATCGTTGAGCGCAGTAGTAGTGAAGCACGCGGAAGACACAATGAAGTTCGTGTGATCATTTTCTCGGCGGAGACGTAAAGTGCAGGCTTCCGGAGGGTAGGCGGAAAAGGTTCGACAGCTTTGCTACCTAGAAACAGCGGTGAAGATCAAGGCTGCTTGAATCTTCGAACGCTGCAGATAGCTTGCGGTTTTTTGCCATATGAAAAAGCTTGTGATGTCTCGTGAAAATACGCATGCAACGCGACCAACCGGCGTACGCACACAAGAGAAGTGCCGCAGAGGTAGCTCTGACAAAATTCTTCTATGAGTCACGGGGCTCCTGCCCCAGCCACCACCCACGTCGAGCACTCTATCCACAAGAAAGAAACGTTAATGCAACGCTACGGAGGGAATATGCTATGGAGCTCACGTACGCACGAAACCGGACCTGTGTACACAAACGAGAAAAAACACGAAGGGCCCGTGGGTGAAACCCGCCAGGTGCATGGCGAACACCCCCCACACACACCTGCACACAGGGGTGTTTTTTTTTACCGTTTCAAAAAGTACGCAACTTGCGGGTACGTACGTCGGTACCACAAGGCATGAAGGTGGTACAACAACACTCCACCCGTACCTTAGTCAAGTGTGGGAGCTCCTTCACCACAGCAGCAATGATGTTTGCGGCGGGCACGGTGTAGGTGTTGCGGCTGAGGGCCGCAACCGTGATGGACTTGGCGTCCCTGCCAGAGAAAGCGTTCGCTTGGAGCTCGAGAGCCCTCGCCTGCATGCAAAGTACGTTCGGAGCGAGTCCGTTCGGTGGTGTTGACTTGTGGCCAAGGATTTTTCCTATTGGTCCGAGACAGAAAAACGACAAAATACATCCTGCTTCCCCGCCGCGAACCGGAGGGAAACAACCCTCTTATTGTGGTGTTTGATCCTGTATCGGAGTAGATTGCTTTCGCTCAGGTTCCTCGTGAGCAATAGAGAAAGAGGTTCTAAAACACCCCGGGATGTGCCACTGGGACCCACCAGTCGACTCCAGGTCGCGGTATACCAACATACTTTTGGACCGTGGGGATGTTTGGCCTAGCACGAAACCTATCGGGCACCAGTTACCGACGGTCTGTTTGCGTGCTTCAAAATTGGGCAAGATGCGTCGCCCTGGTGTGTGTGGCGGTGCTCAAGCATGATGTGGGTTGCTACATACACTTGGGATTGATAGACGCATAGAGAACAACATGAGCCCCCCCTCTATGTTTCAAAACGCAGGCCATCAGAGCAACGCCCACGGGTATCTCTGATGATATACTCGGCACACCCATCTCTGTCACCACTGACAGAAGCCACAGCAGGGTTTACGACGATGCTTTGTATAAATGTCTTGGTCCTTTGGCCCTGCCCTTGGATATCGTACAGGCTACAGAATGCGCCAGCCGCCTGTGCGTACTTGTTTCACGAATAAATGCATGATGAGCATACCCACGATAAAACCTATAGCCTCCTATTGGCTTCCCTATTCCCCACTACCATATCAAATAACAACACACAGGGAAACGCAAATTATCTCGAGCAAACCGAGGCGGGCCGCATACTTTAAGAGCGAGGAGAGAGACAGTGAGAGCTACTCTGCATAATCACACCACGTCAGCTCTCGCTGTACGGCGACATCGGTATCATCGTCGTTTTTTGAGCTATTGAGGAGAATGGTCTGGCAACCATGGGAGGTGTGAATGTATAATATTGTTTGGCGTGAACACAAGCACAACCAGACTAGTTTCTAGCTGCTTGGGGGTATCTCACAGAGTCCGTGCCTAAATGCCTCTTTGCCTCTCTCTCACTCTCTCTCTCTCTCTATCATCATCGCATTTATTTCTCCTTCTACTTCGTATCTGTGCCTCTCTCATTTGCATTTGCTTGAGCTCCTCTCGTGAAGGGTGTTTTCCATCGAGAAAGAACAACGTAGAAAAGAAACGACACAGGGTGAGTGTGGCTGTAACTTCACGAGAGAGAGGAGAGAAAAAAACAGGTATGTACAATCAAAACAAAAGGCGTGACTATTGTTGTATTCCTACTGCTGCACTGCTGCCACCGCTGCTGCTGCTGCTGCTGCTGCTGCTGCTGCTGCTGCTGCTGCTGCTGCTGCTGCTGCTAAAGGAGTTGCGGCCCATTGTATGACTCCAGACGAAGTGGCTCGAGAGGGGACAATTGTAACATGAAATCGAGAGATCAGAGAAAATATTGCAGGCTTATTTTACAGCTGTTATTATAGCTATGCTTACATAAGTCTACAACAGCAGTATTCCATCGTCGAGACTAGATGACATTGTACGCATAAGGCTCTGAGAAATCGGTGATTCTTTTTGCGGGCCGACTGTGACAGTGCAGTCTGTCCACAGGAGTATGCGGGTGCAGCGTTTACGATCAATACATAGTTGTAGGGCACCCGCTACCAGGCAAAAAGTTCAATGCTTTGGCCGCACGGAGAGATACCAGCAGGGCCACGCTGATAATTCAAGACAACTCTATCTCAGACTCAGGTATGTGGTAGCTGCTGTCTCTGTTGTGAAATGGATCTGAAACGAGGGAGACAAAATGCATGCTGCATCCACCTGCACACATGTTATATGGCATCCGGCAAGAGCGGGACCTTTCCTGGAGATCCTCATTTGAGCTGGGTCAGATGCAAGATCAAGCAGGCGATTTCCAACCCTCATGAATGGCGTATGCCTAGCGTTATGAGAGCCCCCGAATCCCTACGGCTCATGTCTGTGTCGTCGCTCTTGGGACTCTGTGCTCGGAGGGGCGTATCTGGTCGTTTCACCGGTTGGTTGTTCCGCTCACCAGCTGCACCGGCTTGCGCTTGGTGTTGCCGCTGCCCTCCAGTGCGAGCAGGCCACCCACGTCGCCCATGCTTTGGAATCCGTTGAAGTTCATCTTGTTTCTTGAGATTAACTGCACCCGTAAGTCGCTCTCGCCCTTGTCCGATGCAAAGTCAATTGATGCTGCCGTCACGCGCAAGATATTTTGATATTTCCATGCGGTGGGTGCCCCGTGTGCATGTTGTACCCCCCCTCAAAAAAATAATGAGGAAACTTGTAGGTGGGGGGGGTGAGAAAAAGGGCCGAAACATGCGCACGTACGTCAGTCGTTGTCGGAGCTGGGGGGGGGGGGGTTTTTGCCTGGCCCCTGCATGTATTTACGACCAAGAACGGAAGAGGAGGGTGCTTCCTGTACATACAGTGTACACATGGCACATTCGAGGCGTTTTTTCGTCATCAAAGACGAAAACTATGTAAACCATGGCGGCGGTACTTGGCAGATGTGACAGATGAAGATACTGGGTGGAAAGATCGGAAAGATGAAGACAACAACAACAACAACAACAACAACAACAACAACAACAACAACAACAACAACAACAACTTTACTTGACTCGGTGGTGGTGAGAGTGTAGACCCACTTCTGACCCCAAATAGTGCGTCGAACATGCATGCATGTGTGCCGAAGGAGTACAAACTGGCGCCCAGAATAAAGCGCATGTATGTAGAGTAGATGGGAACGAAACACATTCACTCTTAGCAATAGATTTAGTCTATTTACTCTCCTTGGAGGAAGTGGATATGGTTTCCTTGACGGAATAACACATTATCAGGTAGAGAGACCATAGAAAGTCCGTACATTGTCCATTCAAAAAAAATATGCCCGAGGGCAAGAACAGTACCACCGTGGTGGAGGTGCGGGTCGGCATATAAACAAGCTTGACCTTACTATTCGAATGGTACGCATCTGATCTCTAGGTTGCAAAACTACAAGGAGAGCACCCGCAGAATCTCCGATCCTGCTGCGCCGTACAGCAGTATGTGTACCGCGGCAGCGTGAGAAAGGTGCCTGCTTCTCTCCCATGCACACCTCGACAGGCGCATGGGTTCTTGAGCTTACCTTATTCATGGGTAGAGTTGGATGGATGGCTAAGCGCACCCAGATTACAAAAAAGACAACCGGCATCTTCTGATCCAGACGAACAATCGTGTGGCATGTACGATGAAAAAGATTGGGTGCGCATGCGAGATTCTAGACACAGTGAGCGTTTTGTTGCAAACGTCATCAACGAATAAACCTCCGCCGACCGCAACAAAAAAAAACACTCGTCACGACCAACAGCGGCCGAGGACGAAAGCGAGAGCTACCACGTAGTAGTCTGTCACCCAGCGAGGGGGATGAAGAAATGAGGAACGCCGCTACAGTAGCATGACCAGCATAGCGAATGTATTGAGGGCAAAAAGCACCGAGAGCTTTGTTGACTTCTACTGCTAATGGCATCAACACCAACCTACTTGTGAGAAAAAGGTTAATTACCCGAGTACCCCCAGCCCTCTCACCCCATTTGTCATCGTTCACAGACATCAGCGCGAAACAGCAAGAACAAAGTAAACGCGAGCCGCGGGAGCAGAACATGCTTTGTTTACTTCGGGTGCGTTTTCTACAACAACCTAGCACATCAAAAACATTCATCACATAAACGCGAAGTACATACACCCGGACTTGAGTAGGCAGGCACTCAGATTCGACCTTGTTGAAGGGGAGACTCTTGAAGGCGTCGTGTTACCGAGGAACCTTGAGGCATCGGGGCATTTGGGGGACGTCGCCTGCGCTCGGTAAGATACGGGACACCCTCATCTCGCCTGCACAGCCTCTCAGCCTGTCTATGCGCACGTGGATCACTCAAACAAAAGGGGGGGGGGGGCTGTCCGGTAACACAGAGTCCCACCACTTCTGATCCATCCCACGCACGTAAGAACCCAAAACAATAAAACTTGTCCAACCAACCCCAAGGGGTTGCGCACACCAACCAGCATACAACCGCCTGGTATCGGCGTGCCATGTCCGAACGAAAGCACTACATTTTCATACTACCGCCGAAGCCCCTGGCAATCAAATTTTGTTGCATACCACCACGTGTACGCCTATAAGAACAATACAAAAACCGAAACAAATGTTCGCAAAAAAAAAAAAAATCTTACCATATACCGCCCTGTATTCTCGCTTCCAACTAAGAGAGACGTTGAGGCAATACCACGAAACAAAAAAGTATCTGTTCGGCTTTGCACTTCTCGGGCTTGTCTAAGGAATATTTTAGATATACTTTACCTCGCCCTCAGCCAACAAGCAGCAAACACCCCCGGGCACTATCTTTTCCGTATGAATGAAGAATACAATGCGACATACTGCCCCGTAAGTCTCTAGACTAACATTCTTCCAAATTTTCTTAACAGCTATTTGCAAAAACACTCTAACAAAAACAATGCAACATTTTCCCTACCCCCCATGCACAAACATGTCTGCCAACAACGGTGAAACCCTTTCAAAGCCACACCCAAATAGCAACAATAGGTTTCGCCAGCGAGCGAATTGCGACAGGTTTTATTTCACTCTTCAGCGTGACCACGCTTTTACGTTTTGAAAACAAAATTACTGCACCAACACCGACCCCTGTTTACAATCCAAATCTAGGTTTCGCTACCTCGCCGCTCTAAACGCCAATTTTCCTGCCCGTGTAGCAAAACAGCAGCAGTGACAGCGACTCAACGCTACACCTGACAGTTCAGTTTTATCATGGAAAATGCGTGAAAAAATACCACACCTCGCTCCCCCGGCAAAACAACGAAATTTCGGCGCTGACGTAGGTAATACTCTCCACGACGAACGTCCAGGAAGTTTTTTTTTCCTCACGGCCGAAACTGTCGGCCCTACCCAGAATATTTGTGCAGCTTTCGACAAGATACCACCTGCACCGCCCACCAACGCAAGCAAAAGCACGGACGGACCACTTCTCCACTGCTGTGTAACCCATCAAAGCTTGTTCCATATTTGCGGTACACTAATAATGGCAGCACAGACGGGGGGCGGGGGGGGGGCGTATGCTGCGCCAGCTGCACACACGACCATGGACTGGTGCGCATCTAACGAAAGATCGCTGGCCTTTCAGAGAGCTGGTGTGATGGTGCCATGCGTTCTTCGGTGGAAATACAAGCAAGGCAGGCGTGCGAAGAAAACAAAACAAGAGGAAGACCCCCATATTTTAACCAAGAGTACTGTGTCCGTCTGCGAGGGGGGCAGGTCGATCCGCATTTCCCCCCCCCCCTAGACTGCTCATGATGCACAACCGGATCCTTCCTCCACTTGTAAAACATCTCATACGGCCACCGGCGTTGTCAGCAAACAGCCAGCCCCGTTTTTCAACGCAGTTTCCGTTCGCCCGGCTATGCCCACCACACACTCATGCATCGGGCAGCGAAGCCGGTGGGTCCGGAAGCACCAACCCTCCGCGCTTTCACCTTACCTTGTGAGCTAGCCCTCGATCGTCAAGCACCTGACGGGTGGGGGGGGGGGAACAGGCAAAACATGTTTGTGCAGCAGGATTAAAACGCGCAAAAAAAGCAACCCACATCACCCCTGCCGCTCGTCAATGCTTGCAAAGGTCGACCTGTTGCCGTGCTCTCAAAAGATGTGGTATCGTGCATGTACACGCCTCTCGACTATTCACACAAAAAACAACGCTTCAAGTACATCCGTAAACAAAGGCAAGAGGTGCAATGCAACGAAGAGGACAAAAATCCTGAATCTTTGAAGCCAAATTGATCCAGCCCACTTCTTTCGTGACCCACACAAAAACACAACGCACAGGCGGAACTTCGCCATAAATGCACAAGAAGCTGTTCATAAGAACTGACTACAGATGAACGTGAGGTGCATGTGAGATTCACAAAAAAACAATGTTAGGTGGCAAATCAATGAAACGGGTGACGTACGCCTTGCGGTCCAGCGCATGTCCATTCCTACTGCCCTTGCCAAGCACAGTCCCCCCGCTTCTATACCGGCAGCACGGCAGAGCCTTCTCCCATACCCCCCACGCTCCCGCCCCTGTTCCCCGCGGCACCCCCGCTCCTCTCCTTCCGGAAGCTCTCCAGCTCGTTGGCCATCTCGGCCAACAAGCGGTTCTGTCTCGCCAGCTGTTCCCTCAGCTCCGTCTCCCCCATGCTCCTGGTGCCCTCCGCTCCGACCGAGTCGGCGGCACTCCCCCCGACCTCCGCCGCCGCCGTCGACCGATGCCGCTTGGCAGGGGGCACCGACACCATCCCGCCATCAGTACGACGGCCGCCACCGCCGACGGAATTCGGGCTAGCGCCCTCCGGGGCTGCCGCCCCGTCCGCCAACGCTTCTCGTGAGGACACCGACATTTCCCCGAACAGTCCCGTGGTTGAATCTTCGCTCGATCCCGTCACGCTCTTGGGGGCAACAGGGGGGGCGTCGGTTACGGCAGTAGCGGGCGAGGTTGCGCCGCCGCCGGGCGATAATGATGCCGCCGCCGGAGCGCTAGAGACGCCCAAGAGTCCCTCGAGGTTCGCCGTGCCCTTGGTGATTCCGTTGGTGACGCCTTTGGTGGTGCTGTCTTTGGCGCCGCCGGTGGTGGTAGCGGTGGAGGCGGCGTCATTGCTGGCCGTCTCGTTCAGGTCGCTCCGCAGCCGCTTCACGTCGTGGCGGAGCGTCTGTTATGTCAGGAGAGGCGTTTTTCGGTGGTGTTGGCACGGAGGTTCACACAAAAAGACTGGAGTTCTTGGCAGTTCGTGATGATTCACAGTCCCGCCACTGGTGCCCGTAGGGTGAGACATTCGAGAGGAACAACCCATTCTACGCAAATATGAGTTCAATCCACTGAAGCGAGTCGAAATGTATGCCAAGGAGGCCACTATGGCTTACCCTCCATATATTAATAACCCATTCTCTATGAATTCAACCCATGCCAGGGGAGGCCACCATGGCTTAACCCTCCATACTTGAACAACCCATTCTCTATGCTTCAACCTATGGAAGCGCGTCGGAATGTATGCCAAAGGGCCCTGCCTCTGGAAACCACCATTCTAATCACGGGAGAATGCCAACGGGACGCAAAGGCAGGGGGGCGGGCAGCCAGCAATCCAGGCTCCACACCGCCGGCAAGGAATCAACCGTAACTACTCGAAGAACACCAACGTACGGACAACACGTTACGGGACAAAAATACCAGGAATTTGGATGACATACCCTGTTCGTTACTTCACAATCAACCACGGTAATGATATATACGGGACGAATCAGCGCGCAACACTCACGAGGTTCCAAATACAGGTAGGTTACAACAACTTCCGCGGCCCGAACTGTGCAAGAGCAACAGCAGCGACAACAAAGGAAGAACGAGGACAACACACAACACACAACACACACACACCTTGACTTCTGAGTAGAGGTTGTTGTCCGGATTGTCCGGGTCTGGCACGTGCAGCATCGCCCACATCTCGTTCCACGCCGCGTCCTCCGGGTCCGTCCAATCCTTGTCGATCATGCCGCTCGCGCCTGGCCCGGCGTCTCCCGCCCCGGGTCCGAGGCTCGTGTCCCAGAGCGCGAACACCCCGTTCTCCGCGGCCAAGGCAGCCGACGCAGCAGAAGCGGCGGCGGCAGCAGCGGAAGCGGAAGCAGCGGAGGCGGCGGTCGAACCGCCCTCGCTGCTTCCCGCCGGTGCCGCTCCCTGAAGGCCCGGGTTGGCCCCTGCCGCAGCGGCGGCGGCGGCGGGGGTGGCGGCCGTGGAGGAAGGGGGAAGAGCGAGCATCGTCGTCGCTGGAGCGGCGGCGGGTGGTGCTTCGAGCTGCCGTACGGGAGGGTTCTTGAGGAGCTGGATAATCCTGTCCTTCACGCTCTGATGTTAAGGGGGGAAGGGGACGAGGGCAAAGATCGTGAACGCGTTGGGCGTTTGCTAGACAACGCTCGGGATGCAGTGCTACCATCCGAGTGTACTGCTTGAAAAAAAGCACAATACACGTCGGTGAACATGGCAACCTCCTGTACTCTCGCAACGACACCGACCAAGCCACATCGCCCAAACCTCTCATCAGGCTGTCTATTAAGCATAAACGGTACAACGTTCGTTTGTCCACCACCCTCACTTCGTGTTCCAATACCATCTTTACAGTCTTGCATTATCTGGAAGGCAAATGCCGCCAAACGCTAACAAATGACGCGGTCAAGTCAACAAACAAGCGGCCATTCTCTCCCCGACCTCCCGCAAACCCATCTGCCCACGCTGCCGCACACAGACGACGGACAAGAGCCCAGCTCAAGACACATGGTGCACGCAATCGAAGCAAGGACAGCAAGCAAGCAACCAAACGAGATGTTGTTGGTCCGCCATCATCCAATCTAACCTGATCGACGTCGTAGAGGCCCATGTCGCACACCGCAGCGGAGGTGCGTCCTCGGAGATCCGTCGCGGCCTGGTCAGCGCCGTTGCGCAGTAGCATCTCCACGATCTCGACCTTGCCGTGAAAGCTGCTGCAGTGGAGAGGGGTCCAGTTGTTGTCGCCCTGTGTGAGCGCGCAAGCAGAAAAGAAAAAAAGGACGAACCTTCTGAGATGAAAATCGGAGCAGAAAGAAACTAGAGAAGACCCTTCTGAGATGAAGATCGGAGCAGAAAAGGCCGCACGTACAGCCCGCCAGATTCCAAGCTGACAACTAAAACGAAGCGAGATGAACACGAAAAGCATACCCTGAACAATGGAGGATTGATGGTCTGTTGTCGCTGCAATGGACCACGAGAGAAAAACACCGAGACCCTTTGGCAGGGACAACAGTTTTTGAACGGTTTCGTCGATATACATCCTCAAAACTATAGATTTTGAACGTCCTTTCGACGTCCATGGTCAAGTACAATAGATTTTCAACGGTTCTATGTACGCAAATGCATATCGATGTCCGTTGTCGAAGGACATGGATTTATTGGTGTGTTATCGATCACTTCAAGCACTCCGCCTATCAATGTCACACTTCGCTATCGAAAATATCTACAGATACACATTGACTACGGCAATTAAGACATTTCGAAAGAAAGCCCGTCATCTCTATGGCAGTCAATGATGTAGATCGGAAGACGGCCCGCGCATTCTATTTAGATTGCCAGCGATATCTATTGCCACCTACTGCTGTTGAGGGATGCTGTAGCCGCAATGTTCTATTTCTAATTCCTGTCTATTGCCCAGGGTATGTACGCAGATGAGCTCGTACCCAGGGTGCCCACCACTCATGCGGCATCTGCAAGAATACAAGTGGTATTAGGAAGCAGCAGTGTGTGAACCTCCTCCGACGACCCGTGGTAAACACCGAAAAATGGTGTACGGTTCGGCCGGGCGAGTCTCTCGAAGGAGTTCACGCAATAAACAAACAAGCACACTTACTTCTACAATTCAATCTCTGGTCCACGCCGAACAGCAGCAACAGTTCGGGTGGGTGGGGTCCATGAGTCCTCTCTTCTTGGCCAGCAGCTGGCTGTTAAGCGCCATCTTATGTGCGCTGCGAGGAAGGAAAACAGGAGGGCACGCCAACAAATGAGTAACGTTTATTTACCTGAGCGTTGATTTCCGCCCCCGAGTTGAGCAGCGCGGCGACAACGTCCTTATGGCCCTCCTTAGCAGCGCGGTGCAGAGGGGTGCGTCTCCATTTGTCTCGCTTTGTTGTTTAATTTCATGCGTTTGGGAGAGCAAATGGGTGCGAGTCGGCTGTTTGTGACCACTTCGCTCGAAAACACGCGGAATCCGGAGCCCATCTGTCATCAGAGCCACCGAACGACTCTGAAACTGACAACAAACACGCCGAATGAAAATGGTTGGTTTAACAATAAATCTGATATTTTCCACCTGCACAGAAGACACTACGCTTTTCTGCCCAAAACAATACATGCACCCACAGGGACGCATAGAAGTCATGGACCCACAATTTTTGTACCGACGGAAATCCTGTGTGAGGAACCAGCGTCACGAACATGTACGCCTATGCGTTTCTTGCTTCTTCCACCCGTCGCTCCATACTACAGGCAAACGGCGCAGTTTTCTCTCCTTCCAACCAGTAATTTACACCAAACCGGCTAAAATCCCTACCAACCCTAACCCAACCCCCAAACACACCCAAAAGGTGCTAGGTTGACGTTGGCAGCTCAGTTCTAGGTTGTTGTGCCTGCATTAGGGCTAGGTTAGCGCTGGGTGGCTCAGTTCTACGTTGTTGTACCGGCGCTAGGTTGTTGGTATTGATAGGATAATCTCTCAAGTTGGTATTGCTTGGAAAGGTGCTAGGTTAGTGTTGACCTGTGTAGGTGCTAAATAGGTTGTGTAGGCCATAGTCGCTCTTGGTTGGGTTGTTCCGTCGGTAATAAAAGCATGGGTGCATAGCTTACCTGCGGCCCCGCGGGTGCATTGATTCTTTTAACTTTTCTGCGTCGTTTTGTGTTTGAATTAAAGAACAGAGAACGACACCAGCACAAGTTTCGACGTGCGCATCCGTTCCGGAGTGGTGCAACGCTCACGACTGCGGTGTGACACAGGATTACCTTGGAGGATAGGAGGGCGCCAGTGTTTTGAAAACCGCCAACTACGTACACGCGCCCGACTGGCGTGCATGGCTTCCTCGGACTCTACTTGCGTCAGGTACGCACTGCTGTATGCGTATTTATAAAATAACAGTATTTTTCCTTCGATCGTTCCCTCTTTCATGCGAGAAAAGTGTTTCATGACGTAATAAATGAAATCTCAAAAATCGGAAGACGGCCATGAAGTCGGGAAAATCGGCACAGACAACCAGATCGGGCCGGCTGCAACCTATCTACCAAAGCCCAAAAAAATATACCGTGTGCACCTTGGGGGGCGCATGTAAGCCACGGACCCACACCCTTCCACAGGCCGAAAAGACCCATAGAAAAAGAGGACAAGTAAGTTCCAGCCTTGGACCCGGCAGCCAGATGTTTTTCGCACTATTCGCAAGTTGGTACTTCTACAAACCTGAGATCTTCTGTCTTGGCAGGGACATGAAACCGGCTAACAACTCTAAACCCTAACCCTATAACCCCAAACCCACCCAAGAGGTGCTAGGTTTGCGCTGGGCGGCAACTTAAGTGCCGTATGTTGGTGTGCTGGCATTGGAGTAAGGTTGGTGTTGATCGGAGAATTTCTGGGTTGTTTTGCTTGGAATACAACGTACGTGCTAGGTTGGCAATTGATGCGACAAATCCAAGGTTGTCACGCGTGGGGCGTGAACTCAAATCAACAGCAAGCATGAACAGCAGTCGGGATGTCCCGGTGCTGTCGGTCCTGTTGAGCTTTCAAAACCGCCTTCGGATCCGGCCAACAACGCACAGATCGGAGTAACATTTTTGGGCGCCTCCTGTGATGATTCAGATTTTATTCTGAAGAAGACTTGACAAAAGAACAGAACTTTCGGTTCTCCGCGCAGCAAAACCGGCCAGCTGTGAGAGCGCACGCAGACAGCAGACATTTCAGGGAGCGGCGACTGTCGGGTGCGTGCCCTTGACGAGCGCACTCCAGCGTGTCAAGCAGGGGTTCAGTTGCACAATTTCATCCTGATCCTGTCACACGGACCAACGAGAGAGTGGAGCTGGAGACTGGAGACACAAAACTGCCGCTGGCTGTTGCAGTCAAAAACCAAAACATACAGGTAGGCAAGGCGGCCGCTGTTAGCTGTGCGTTGTTTGCTCTCCTCTCGCCCGCTCTCTCTCCAAATGATATTTGATCTGTATCCAAAACTCACCACATGAACGTTGGCCCCCGCGGCGAGGAGTGCCTGCACGGTGTGCGTGTGTCCCTTCTGGCACGCCCAGTGGAGGGGGGTGTATCTGCGGGATGGCGGAAAGAGCGAGATCAGCCACCGCTTCTGCGGGTTATCATGTCTCTGGGGTTGCCTCTTTTTCTGAGTGGAGCAGTCGTAAACAATGAAGCCTTGTGGCGCTCTCGACCCTCGAGCACGACACGCTACTTTCAGCAGCCCCGTCCGCGAAAGTTTCATCACCAGCAGCAGCTATTCGGGGAAAGTCGTTCGTTCGCATCGATTCGTGAATGCCTCCCCACTTACCCGTAGGGGTCTCTCTTGTCGATCGGGGCTCCCTCCTCGAGCAGCTTCACGACGCCCATCATGTCATCCTGTTTCGCGGCCGAGTGGAGGTCGACAAACTGTAAGCCGGCCGTCGCCATCCCGGTGGTGTCACCTTGCCGCACTATGGACACGTCCGATCACAAGAGCAGCGGGGGGCAGGAAGAACTAGACCGTTTCCTGGTGAGGGCCTGGTGGCTCGGGTGGTGGTCTCTCCACCTACCCTTTACCTGCCGCCAAGAAGGGAGCCTGCAAAATCAGGGCACAATAACGCCTAAACCCCGGGGATGGTCTGTTTTATCCCCCCGCTTGGTTCGATATTCGTCCCCCTACCTCTATTGAGCTGCCTCTATTTCTGGCCGAGGCGGTGGTCTGCTGTCGGGGCGTTGCAGGCGGTGAAGCAGATGCAGGTCTTGCGTTGCACAATATTTATCCTGGAGGCTTCGTGGAGGCAGAGGCGATTGTACCTCTTGGGGCAGCTTCTTGAACCTCTACATTGCCAATCTATATTGCACTTTCCAACAGGTGAAGAAAATGCTTGATGAAGTCTGTAGCCTGTTGCCTAGATGCAGCCCGTGGGATTTGCTGCTGGCTACCACCACAGCAGTATTTACGTAGCACTTCGTACAGCTCGGTAGCAGGGTACGGTACACGTCTGTCTGCATTTTCGGTCTCTCCGACTCTGCTACAGTATTTTGTCGAAAGCGCGAGAGGTGCGGTACGGGGTATTGGCCTTGGATAGACTACCGGTCGGTGCTATCGGTGCGCTTTTTCGAGGAGGATCTTGACGAACCTCAACATGCACAACAACCGGACGCTGCTTGCTTCGTGGACTCAACTTGCACCACAATTGTTGTGTGTAGGACTTGGAAGTGCATATTTTAGTGTTGAGATGGAGTTGGAGAAGTTTTTGAATATTCATACACAAAAGCCGTAGAGTTGTTCAGATTTTGGCGGATCAAAAGCGTTGTTGTTTTTTCATTTATTTGCAATGAGTGCCGGCTCCTTGCCGGAATTGGAATTGGTACACTTACTAGTACGCTCAGCAGCCAGATGATGCTTTCAAAGTATGAAGTACTTGGAAGTGCGTCGAAGCTGCTGTAACTGGTACTCTGGCAGTTTTTTTTTTTTTCGTCGGAACAATAGACTATAATACATACAACAACAGATGCACTTCGAGCAGCAGTCCGAGAAGAAGCGATTACTACTGCTGTAACATACGTAGTATCATACTGCTGTACATGCTTCGAAGTATTTTTATTGCGACATTGAAGGTGTGTCAATGCGTGAGGGCGGAAACACGCCATGTCTTGTCGAGCAGGCTGGGGAGGATTCGATCTTCATTCCTAGTTATCTACATTGGGCCACTACTCTGTAGTTGCACCTTCGTTAATGCCACGACCGCAAAATGCAAGTACATCGACTAGAGCAACTACATTGACTTATTTTGTACGCATGTCTGTACGTCGTCCCGTTTTTTTGTTTTAGGAGTAGCATTGTTCCCTCCCCTTTCGCGCTTGGTGATGTGAGAGCCTGGTCCGGTGAGAACCCGGCGTGCTCCGTCCCGGCTTTGTAGGGATGCGAGGTCAATGGTCTAACGACTACGGCATGCACGACTATGAGTACACCCCCCCTTCCCCCGCCCCACGTCCCTCCAGGGAGGTATTGCCTACGACTTGCTGCTTCGTGGAGTCCCCACACAAGAACAGATCGAACAACTCGAAGATGACGATGAGCCCTAGACCAACGTCTCTATTTTTGTCTCACGGAGGAGGTGAGTCTGGGCAGAGCAGCTCGTTGAGATGGCTGGTTGGGCTTCAAAACTTAAATGTGTTCGTTCAGATCAGAAATGTAGGTAGCCAAAGCTGCGGATCGTTTTTCACCGACTGCACCGATGCTACATCGCGGTTAAATCACACGCCCGTGTGGGTCAGTTGTAAATCTCGACGCTTGCGCACCAGCCAAAGAAACAGCGCCGATTCAAGAACAAATTACAAAATCACCTCAGCAAACGTCATGTTTTCGGCTTTCCCAACCAAGGCTTGCTGGAGTGTTCTTCATCTTTTTTTTAGGCGCCGTGTTTTGGAAACCGTGAGATGTGACAAGTTCCCAGGACTCGGTGATGCACCTTCCCTCCCGTCCTTGGGCGCTCTCGAAAGTCAATGTCGGAAAGCGAAAGCGCGGACAGAGTTTGTTTTGTGGGTGCGGTGCTTGTCCTCGAACCTGGCGCATTGCACCCACGAATGGCATCCAGCCTTATTGGTTGGGCTCCCCCTCGTGTACTGTTGTTGATTCTCCCTTTCTACCGGTTCCTATGAATACTTCCCTGTACTTTCATGGGGAGAAGGAGGCGTCGTCGAAGGCGGCGGCGAGGCACGCCAACTTCATCTACTGTACCCCCCCCGCCCACCTGCGCGGTAGCTGTGCTGGGGAGTGATATAGATAGGATAGATAGACTAGGGAAGACATTTTTGAGCCACCTTTGGCGAAGTAGGGAGGAACGAGTGGCCATCGGTGATCGGTCCTGTGGGAACAATGCTCCGTCCTCTCGAGGACGCGTGGCCAATGGTCTAACCGTTAAGGCATGCAAAACATACGAGTACGCCCCTGCCCCCCCCCCCCCCCCCCCCCCCCCCCCCCCCCCCCCCCCC